TGGCGGAAGAGCTCCGTCTTGCAGGCCCTGCGGAACTGCATAAGGTCCCGCAGGGCCCTGATCTCCTCCGGGAGCTCATTTCTGAATTTATGTTTGTGTTTTGACTGATATACTCAATAAAAAATTAAATTCAAAAAAAAGAAGGAAGGAATGCCTGTAGGGCACAGGGATAATCTTAAAATCACTTGGGCTTATTGACGCCAGCGTGTAGTTAGGGGAGCGACACGACCTGACAAAATACAGTCATTGCAATTATCTCTGTGATTTTATATAAACATCACGACAGGGAAAAAAAAGAATGAAAAATATCTAGTGAAGCTGCTTTGTGACCACATTTCGCATTCGTCTCCCTTTAAGTAATATCTAATAGAACAGACAGTTGCGTTGATGTCTTAGCATTCTGTCTTTCCCTGGCTACAATCCTCACAATTAGGTACAGCTGCTGAGGGGCTAGGAAATGTGGAACAACAACATTCTGCCTGTACCTAGGGAGCTCTGGGGAATTAAGTGTTCCGTTGCCATTGGTGGCAGCAGTCAACATTTAGCGCAAGTTGTGTCTAGGTTGTCCCTGAATGTAGCCAGAAAAAGAGTATTGAAGTTGGCAGACAAGAAAGAAGATTGGGGAGCTCCAAGGGCATGCCATTTGTGGGGGGGTGGGGACGGGGGGGGGGAACGACAATGACAGGGACCGAAGCCCCTTCGCACTTTCTGAATGTTCACTGGTTTCCTCTTTGCCCCACGTGTGTCTTTGCAAATGAAGAGAGAACACGCAGCACCCCAGAAACTCTCTACTGTTCAGGGAACAGGAAGAATAAGAAATGATACTTTCTGCTTTAAAATGCTGCACAAACAAAAAAATTTTTTAGAGCATACAAGTTTCTTGCTTCTTCTTGCAGTAAGAATGGGCTTGTGAGCAGCTGGAAGCTGAACGGGTGAGGGATACTTCTACTTCTCTTTATTTTTTCCATTCCTTGAAGAAGATTCAACAGAGTAGGGTTGCCAGCTGTGGGCCGGGAAATACCTGGAGATTTTTGGGGTGGAGCCTGAGGAGGGTTCCTCCTCCTGTACCCCTCAGTGGGGTACAGTGCCATAGAGTCCACTTTTCAAGGTAGTCATTTTCTCCAGGTGAACTGATCTCTGTCACCTGGAGATCAGTTGTAATAGCGGGAGATCTCCAGTCAACCCTAGTCAATAGTTGTGACTCTTGCGTATGAGTGTGTGTGTGTGTTCCAGTGGGATTGTTTTTGTGGGAATGCCAGCCTTACAGCCATAGGAACTGCTTAAAAAATAAAACAGCTCAGCTTCTCATTGTGCGCGTTACTGTATATTAAAGAAACACATTATTTATTTATTTATTTCGATTTCTATGCCGCCTTGCCTGACAAGCAGGCTCAAGGTGGCGTACAATAATAATTTCTAATAATAATTTCTAACAATAAAATATAAAGTGCAGATTAAATACAAACGATAAAGTGCAGATGGCGATCGTTGTAGTTGGCCCTGTATGACTAGACCAGTATCCCAAAGAAAGTGCCAGTAATGTTCAGTGGCTCGTTCAGTGGCGGTTCCTAATTTAAAGCCTGGTGGAAGAGCTCGGTTTTACAGGCCCTGTGGAATTGTAAAAGGTCCCGCAGGGCCCTGATGTCCTCCGGGAGCTCGTTCCACCAGTGTGGAGCTGCCACTGAGAAGGCCCTAGATCTGGTGATAGCTAGTCTGGCAACCTTGGGGCCAGGGACAGTCAGGCGATTTTGAGCCCCCGGCCTCAGTGCTCTCTGGGGAACGTGTGGGGAAAGGCGGTCCCTCAGGTAGGCAGGCCCCCAGCCATATAGGGCTGTAAAGGTCAAAACCAGCACCTTGAAACGAATCCGATATGCTATTGGCAGTCAGTGCAGCTCCCTCAGCACAGGCTGGATGTGCTCTCGAATAGAGAGGCCCATCAGCAGCCTGGCTACTGCATTCTGCACTACCTGCAGCTTCCGGATTTGGGACAAGGGCAGCCCCATGTAGAGAGCGTTGCAGTAGTCCAATCTCGAGGTGACCATAGCGTGGATCACTTTTGCCAGGTCATTGTGTTCGAGGAAGGGAACCAACTGCCTAATCATTAGGGGAAAGAATGGAATGTAGACTGTCACCATCATACTCTCAATTTCCTAGTCCCTGTCACAGTGTTTTTGGCCAGATGGAGCATACTTTGGAAGAAGATGGATAAAAGTGATCTCTGTATAAATCTTTGGTTGTCATTTGATGGCCTTTTCGTTAATCTTCTTCTGCTGTTTGGAAGAAGATTTTCCTGGATCTTCTAGGGAATGTGTGAGCTACTTGGGGGCCGCTGGTGAGTTGCCTGTTGTCGACCCCCTCATATAGAACCTGCAAGGGTGTGTTGGGTCTTCTTCTTCTTCTTCTTCTTCTTCTTCTTCTTCTTCTTCTTCTTCTTCTTTCATAACAACATAGGATGTCCTTGACCCTATGATCCAGAATGGGCGGGTGGGGGGTGTCTCCAATCTTTTCTTTAATGAGAGTTACTTCTGAGTAATAAAAATAATAATCCTGAGCTACTCGCCTCCCAGCATGTTACTCCCTCAACATGTTAGGAAATTCTATCTCATAAACAGAACACGGACTAGGAAGAACATCAGAAATGAAGCCGTTGGCTAAGCAGCTCAGAGAAAACACGATGAAATAAGAGTTTAATTTTTTTTTTAAAAAGCTTACAGTCAATGTTTTAGCAATATTTTCCTGGATCTTCTAGGGAATGTGTGAGCTACTTGGGGGCCGCTGGTGAGTTGCCTGTTGTCGACCCCCTCATATAGAACCTGCAAGGGTGTGTTGGGCGGGGGAAATCAGTCCTCTCGCGCCACCAACAACCCTGCCGTCTCCTGGTTGTATAAACCAACACTTTCTGGGACTTTCCTGGAACTCTTGCAGCCCATATTCCAGCAAATCAAAACAGTGTTTCGAAAATGCATCTAAATCTACTAACTTTGCATCGTTTTGAAATTTAAGGGTTTAAAAAGGAAAGCGCCAAGCTAGTTGTTCAGTTTTAAAGCCATCTCCTCTTCCCTGGTACTTCAAACTGCCGAGCCTTGTGAGAGAGAAGGTAGACTGTGAGTGGCCTTCTGGCTGGGTTCCTTTGCTGGAACAGGGGTGAGGGCAAAAGGAGCAGTCCAGTGCCACATCCCTTCCTCTCCCTCTGCCCTGCCCTACCCTGTTGTGTCTTCTCGAAAGCCTGCACTTCCTGCAGATTCTAGAGCAGTGGTGGCGAACCTATGGCATGGGTGCCAGAGGTGGCACTCAGGGCCCTCTCTGCGGGCACGCGTGCCATCGCCTCAGCCAGGCCCAGACCATCATTAAAGTGTCGAATTCTCCGCCAAATAATTTTAAGTAAATGAAAGCATTTGGGATTGCTTTCCGTACTTTGTTTGGATCATCTTAAGTTAACGTATGAGTTGTTTTTTCTAAAGTAAAACCTCAGTATTCAGGTTAAATTGCCGTGTTGGCACTTTGCGATTAATAAGTGGGTTTTAGGTCGCAGTTTGGGCACTCGGTCTCTAAAAGGTTTGCCATCACTGTTCTAGAGGGGTCTCTGGATCTGATCAGGTGCCATCTGGTATAGATTTGAAAATACACGGGACGCGTGCGCCACACATGCAAAATCATTAGTAGGTTTTTTGTGTGCGTCAACTTTCTAAATCCCCCAAAGCCACGATAAATCCACGTGCTGTGAGAGACTATTCCTGGCAACTGCCTCAACATGCCATTTTGTTTTGGTTTCGCCTTTACACAGGGTAGAAGGAAGGTCAATACCTCATCGGAGACCACAACAGAGACTTCAACTGCTTCAGCGCTACCTCCTCAGTACGATCCAGAGGTTATTGTCGTGGGGTCCGGGGTGCTTGGCTCTGCTTTGGCAGCGGTGCTGGCCAGGGATGGCAGGAAAGTGACGGTAATTGAGAGGGATCTGAAAGAACCTGACAGGATAGTTGGAGAACTCCTGCAGCCCGGAGGTTATAACGCCCTGAGAGACCTGGGCCTGGAAGGTAGGTGATCACTCAGAGACTCTCGATCTTTCGTATCCACTGCTTCAGCTTTCTGACAATTCAGGAGGCAGCCTAAGCCTCATCTTCCAACCGTAAAGGTAAAGGTAATGTTTCCCTTGCTCGAAAGCCAGTCGAATAGTTGACTCTAGGGTTGCGGTGCTCATTTCCGTTTCCAAGCCGAAGAGCCAGCGCTGTCCGAAGACGTTTCTGTGGTCATGTGGCCGGCATGACTAAACACCAAGGCGCACGGAACGCTGTTACCTTCCCACTGAAGTGGTACCTATTCATCCACTTACAATTTCTTGCTTCCGAACTGCTAGGTTGGCAGGAGCTGGAACTAGAGACGGGAGCTCACTCCATCATGCGGCACACTCGGGTCTCGAACTGCTGAACTACCGACCTTCCACAGCCTGCAGTTCAGCGTCTTAACCACTTGAGCCACCGCAGCTCC